GTTTACTGGAAAGAATCCACACACTTAAAATTTCATTTTTCCTGGTTAGATTTGTGTTGTTAGGCTCTGGCAGCATAGTAGCAAGTCTTGTAAATATGTCAATTAACATGGCGACTCAGATCAGAAGTGTAATCACTTTTCCATTTCATCTTTTACAAGGGTGAAATAATCTGGAGCTAATCTATCACAGGCAAATCCAATCAGTGAAACCATTGTCTGTTGTGATTTGAGGCTCTGCCAGACTTTGATCGCCACGGCGGTAAATTGATTAGCAGTGATCTACTGGTCCCCACTAAATGCTGATCCCGTGAAAATAGGTTCACATCTTCGCTTTGAACAGAAGGTTGTGGTTGAGCTATGAGATAGTCTTCTTCTCTTCTTCCTGCTGCCTTCATTAAACTGAGCTCCGTCTCCCAGTGTTCGAGCTCGCCGACTGTCTGGCTGGTGAAGATGTAGAGAAGCAGACATCGTCGTCTCTAAATACGACTTTAATTAAATGTGACTTGCAGATGACAAAAGCCACTTGAATGTGAAGGAGAAAGGGGTCAGGCGTTGATGTTAAAGTTCCCCTCTCTGCCCCACCTTCTCCACTTTTACCTACTCGACACACGCACACACACAGGAAGCAAAGTGGGAGGCACCTGATCTCTTCAATCATCCCGCTTGCAGTTATGATTAATGTGAAGTGTTTCTTATTTACAACACAAATTGCCTGGGTAGACGGCTCGGAAACAAAAAAAACTCTTCAATTTTATGGTGTTTGTCCGACAGCAAGGGCAAACACCGAAACAGCTTTGATGTGAATGAACTAATGCAGACTCAGAAACGTTCTAAGTGCCGTGGAGGCCTCCCTCGGAGCACTTTTGCCTTAAAACCTAATGCACAGATTATATAAAGTGGCAGTTTGTTTAATGACAAGAGAGTCTTTCTAACGCTTCCACTTCAATGTGTCAAATTAAGAGAATTTTTTAACCTTGAACAGTGCCCCCTCCTCTAATCCTCAACCTTTATCTCCACTCAGTATTTTCCCTCTGTCAGTCAGCTGGGTGCTTTTTTGTTATCAGCAGGAGGCTTTAACTGTACAAGTGGTAACCGCACAATGAGGAGTTTTAACGTTTTCAAATTCTGTCACTCATCTTTGAGGAAATTAGTAGTTTTGAGTCCAATAGATATTGGATGCTTTGCAGTCTGTTTATCAGTTCTATTCTCACTCTGCTTTTCCCTGGTGTGTGTTAAATACAGAAGAGAGGAGTGGATTTAATTCAGATTTTGTGTGTTTACAATCATTGCATTGAAAGTATTGTCTTTAAGGTCAGGAGCAGTGAAAGAATGAAGACATGCTTCATTTTTCCTCCCCTCTGATCTCTTCTCCAAAACTTGCATTAGCCTACTCACCTCTGATATCCTGTAATGTTTTCTTTCTATAATGGAATCACCTCTCCTCGTACCGCTGCCTCTTTTCCCTCACTTCTGTTGACCCTTCCTCCATATCGGGGCCAAAGATCACGTCTTATAGCTCCTGTGGAATCAATCGTAGGTCAAACATTTCAGTCTGCTTGAAAGGCAGCCACCAAGAAAGGCTATGTTTTTTGTGGTAATACATGGCTGACTGGATACAGGCCAGTGTCTGCTGAGGACAAGCTTTCATCTCTTTATTCCCACTGATACAATTCATTTGTCCAATGCATCCAATTGGCCTCATCATCACAGACAGAGGTGGCAAAAATTACACACATTCTTTACTTGAGTAGAAGTACAGATATTTGTGTTGAAAAGACTCAAGTAAAAGTATAAATGTACTGATTAAACCACTTTACTGGATTAAAAGTATAAAAGTACAGGCTCTGAAAAGAAGAACATTTTTACTGGCAGTATCTGGGCAAAGCAAATTGAGACATTAATACAATTTTATATATTTTGAACCTCTTCAAATAAAAAAAGAAAAAACATGAGTTAAAGCAAGAATAGGTTTGTGAGCATGAGCATTTGTCCAGGAGGAACTGTAAGTAAGTATTCTTGATTAGAATAAAGCCGGGGATAAGGAATGTTTTGTTGCTCTGCTCCGCCCTTCACGTTATCAGAGATGTTTGCTGATTCTTCACTTTCTTCCTTCTCGGACACTGCACTGCGTTTCTTTTTCGCTTCTCCATCTCATCTGTTTCATCTTTGCACGTCTTTTACACGTGTTACATATGTTGTGCTTGATGCACTGATAGATACAACAGGCAGCCGTCTTTTCTGTGTTATTGCCTCATCCATTTGTAAATGTGAGGAGTACTAGAGAGAACAGATACTTGATTTAAATTGTAGGGAGCAAAAGTAAAAAGTTGTTGGAAAATGCCCAAGGAAAGAACCGATACCAGAAAAATCTCCTAAAGTACAGTGGTGATGTATTTGCACTTCGTTACTTCTGATATCTGATTGCACGAGATCTTTCAGTATCACTGAAATGATGCTGCTGTAGCTGACGTAAAAACATCAAAGATTTAAACGGGTCGTAATATAAACAACGAAAGAACAGAGCGACTCAACAAGTTTGTTTCTAGAGACGTTCTGTGTAGTACAGTGCCTGGGAAAAAAATGAGAGCATCTTTTATTCATGTTCAGTTGTCGAGGTGTCAAGAGTTTTGTCAAGCCTCTCATTGTTCCTTTAGCGCTGTCCCTGTGAAACACTCTGTCTCTATCTCTTTGGTTAAACATTACTGCCAGGCCATGGGTGGCATGGAGAGAGGGGGGGGGGTAGAGAGGACGTGGTTCCCTTCATTCTCTGGTCATTTAACAAACATGGCCCCTTCAACAAAAATGCATGAGGAAATCAGCGCAGGTGAGACAAAAGGCATGAGAGAGAGGGAGTAGGAGACTGAGGATGAAGGTGATGAAGAAGAGAGATGGAGGAGAGGTATGGGGGGGGTGTAGCGTACCTGTGTGCGGAGCAGAAAGGTATGCAGTCCATCATCCTCAGACAGGCAGACAGGGCCGTCTGGGGAGTTTATTTTTACCTCGTCATAAGAGGAGTCTGGACGGGCTGCAGTCGCCCGTTACCACCTTTCAGGGGGGCTCCAGGACAGCAGCTGTCCCGGCGTGACCATCCTTCTTGCTGCGGCAATGCACATATCATCGACATGTAGAGAGACACTCACATACACAGAAAAGCCTGGGCTGTGTCATGATTAACCTGTAGTTTTTTGTACCTGCATCATATCTCATTGTATCAATTTGCAGATTAACAGGGTAGAAACTGTTGTAATGATTTAATGTCATCTATTTTGCATAAATCCCAAACATGCATTTCTTCCAGATACATGAATGTGACAAAGTGATTCTGACCTTTGTCATTTTAAAGAGTAAATGGTGTATTTTTCATATCTTTTGGGTGGTTTGGTAACACTGAGCCACTACTTTGTCACTGAGCTTATAAATTATGGGTATTTTCACCGGTTTCTAACTTTAACAGTCAATGAAAAATGTATTGAATAATTCACTCAACAATTTGCTAAATTAACATACTTGAGGTCCCATTATATCTCACTACACCAGCCTTTAATTGAGCATGCATTTATAGCTAAGTACATTATTATATTATTATACAGCACGTCTCAGGGATATAAAAACACTAAGACGTTTTTTTTTCTCTGTTGAGCACCTTACAAATCAAACCAATCAGCCCCCAACCTGGTTAATATTGTGTTTTAGTGGAAATGTGAGGATCAGACAAAAATGAGCATGTTGTTTGCCCTCGGTGTTAAATAGAAAGCTGCATAGTCACAGCCCTGTATGTTGTAGACTGAATCTACAGGGTGCCCATCAGAGCGTGATCAGCTATTGATCTCATGTGGATCAGAGTCTTTCTAGTATTTATAGACCAGTGAACCCCTTACCCCCCCACCCAAGTTTTTGTTGGTACCAGCACAGACGCACTTGGAGGGGAATTGATTAATAAATCAAGCCTGTAATGAATTCATACTGCGATGAAAGCGATGAGAGGAACTCCGCAGAGATCCTGAAGCATGACGGTGAGGTGTTCCACAGTGTAGTCACACAAAGGACGCTCCCGTGTTGTTTCTTCCTCATACAGGTGTTTTTTTGATCAAGCATACCGCTGGGTGAATTTCAGTTGTCTTTAAAGGGTGCCCTGTTGTTTCTTCCAGGCATTTGGGAGATGACTAGCGCTCCTAAGCTGAAGTTTGAATTTCTGTTTCTCATGAGATCTGTAACAGACTGTGACATCTCATCCCGTCTCACATCACTACATCCTGGGGCTGATTGGCAATTCGTATCCACGCATGGGCGCCTTCATCGTTTATTTTTAGGTGATCCTTTGAGAAACTCCCTTTTAGGTATAAATTTATTTTAAATATGAAGTAGGAGGTGGAATGGTCCAAAAACAGTTCTTACCCCGCAGTTGGACAGAGATGGTCAGGAAGTTTTTATTGATGAATTAAAGTGTTGAAAAAGTTCAATTCTGGAGATGTGTGAGGTGAATGCACAATATTTAAAGATATAATGCAACAATTCTAGATTAAAATGTCTAAAAAAAACTAGACCTATGTTAAATATTTAGTTGACTTGGACTTATCCACTTCACCAGTGGCTTTACCTGTCTCGATCTGCTCCTCGGGCAAAATACGCACGACTAAGAAAAAACTCAATGCTAGCCAGTTAGCCAATCAGCTAGTTAGTTTCCTTCCAGTGTTTGTATTAGTCACTCGTAATGGATCATGGATTCATCTGCAATGGTGGTGAAAACAACTCTCATGATCCCACGCTGCTTCAGGATGTTGTCAAACTATAACTTTTGTGATTGTGCTTGATGGAGAGACCCCTCGTGGCTCAAGTCACGTGCTTTATGTAAAAATTTTGTCACTCCTTCATATTGTGCATCTGATTTCATCCACTTTTCTTATTTAACGTTTAATTTTCTGACATAACATCCGTTGTTGACTGTCTGGATCTGAATGAACCCACTGACCCTCCTCTCTGTTCTTTATGTTTCTGTGCAGGTTAGCTCTGTATGTTTACGAGTACCTGCTGCATGTAGGGGCACAGAAGTCAGCACAGACCTTCCTCTCAGAGGTAAGTCATGCAGTATTTGTTTGTGGGCCAGAGAGCACAGGTCATGTACAGTGCTTCATGGGTCCTCTGTGAGGGGTGGTCTTTACCCTCATACTCTGTGTCCAGTAAGTGCAGCATTGAAGTAGCCTGGCTGTACAGTGCTGAGCCAAGAGGTTAGTGGGAGCAAACAAGCTTTTAAACATGAGTGTTATGTTTAGTGGGACTGGAGCCGGAGCACAGGGAGAGTTATGCTCCACCTGGAGCTGACGTCTTTCACTGACATCATCTCTGCTCGGCATCTCTGTCTCTGTCGATCTCCCTCAATCTTTTTCCTGTCCTCTTTTTTTCTCATTTCTCTTCTTTCTCTCTCTGCGATCTCTCCACTCCGTCGCTTTCTCGATCTATCTCTCCGCTGCCCCCCCCCGAGCCGCGAGCTTGTCTTCACTGTAATTCAGCAGAGGTAAAAAGGTGACGGGGTGAAAAGGAGGTTAGTTGATTCTGGTGCTTCGCTTTAAATGACGGTAAATTACAATGTGGAAGACAGTGGCTGGAGGCTTGTTGTGCATTGGCCAGAAGAGGAGAACAAAGAGAGGGGGATGGAAAAGGTTACATCATCAGCTGGCACCAATGCTCATCACTCTAACTTAGTGTTTCTGCACGCACACACACAAACACACACACCTCTGTTCCTCTCCTCTGTCATATCACTTGCTCGCTCTTCCGCGGATGTGAGAGATGAAAAGGATAGGCGGTGTCATGTTCAAGTGTGGGAACGCATTAGCTAAGAGCGCAACAAGTATAAACAGAGCTTCTTGTATACAATACACATGCAGACGTATACACACACACTTGTATAAGTACCACACGTGCACGCAGCATTAAGCTATAATGTAGCTCTTGTTGGAATAGCAAAAACATGGCTTTAAAGGCCTGTTATCCAATTTATATCAAGCATATCTGTGTACAGTCTATCCTCAGGCTCAAGAGACAAGAGCCCAGAAAGACAAGTCTCAAATCAGACACAAATACATGAACGCAAATAACAAATCACAGACAGACAGCTCAGGAGAGGAGGAAACAAGAAGCTGTCAAACTAAAGCGATGGCTCCTACAGCGATAACATAAATACATTTTAACCGTAACATCAGAAGGTTAAAATATTGGTGTGGCTTGAAAGAAAACTCTGAAGACGGAGCTTTTTTAAAAATCTGTTCTCGGTGCAATGAGAGCAACCTCTGCAACACACAGCCCACATCTGCCAGTAATCACGCTGAAGGCGTCTCACTGAAGTGAAGGTAAATGAATGAACCTCCCAGGATCGCAGACCACAAGAAGACGGGATATGCGGGCACAGTCAGGGCTATTTCTTCGACGCTTTCCAGATGAAGCGGGGATAAAAGCGCTCGCTAAAAAGTGTCCTGACCTGAACTGTCTGCAATCGTGTTCAGACTCGGCTGCAGCCAATTAAATGTCATGCCCATTCTGCAACATTTGTACCACAGAGTCAATCCATCTCTACTATAGTGTGTGGAAAGTGCCTATAATGTTTCATGTTAAGCAATGTCTTCAAGAGAACTGCAAAGCTAATGAGAACATGTCGGATAAACAAAGAGACGGCAGTTCCTGATTCCCCCCCTCAAAAAAACTGAAAAGACTTCAAAGCTAGACATTCCTTCTAAAAGTCACTGTGTCTGATCCGTAGCTGAGGTCAGGACGGTCTGATTGAAAGTGCGCTGATTCACTTTTTCCTGTTATTTTAGTGCTGGTTCCCACTGCCAACAGTGCAGGTGGTTCATCCGTATTATTCTTTCACCCATATGAAACATTTCAGCAGGGGAAATTAAATAAGATGGACACGAGATGACTTGAACAAAGGAAGATAAATGAGTGATGTAAGTGTGTTTATAGAGAGAAGAGGCAGACGAGGCATCACAGTCTGACAGCACTACAGTCTGACTGCTGCTCACAGCTGCTGCTCACACTGTGACATTGTGTGCAAACATAAATTGTCCCTGCTGCGGTGACGTCAGCACTCGCTTGTGTTAGTCACTGACCTTGACCAAGGTGTTAATGCATCAGAATGCTTCAACCAAAGTGATCGTCATGGTCAAACTGTGTCTGGAAACCCCCCCAACGCACGCACACACACACACACACACACACACACACACACACACACACACACACACACACACACCACTTGTTTCAGCGGGGGCTTGTGTCCTATTTATTAACTTAAGCTGAAACTCATTGTTGAAACTGATAAATGCTAATTGTTACTGTTGCTGCTCCTGTCAAGCTTTTTTGTACTTTTAATATTTCCTTCTTTATGTTACAAGAAAAAAAGTCATAAACTCAGTTCAGGAGCTTGGACGTCCTGGACTCTGATGAAAACTCCGATGAAGGACAGAATACAGCTTTGAGTAAATACTTCACAGAGCTATGTGTGAAGGGGTTTTTAAATGTAACCTTTAGCCACACAAAATAATGTTTAGGAAGCAATGTTCACAGCTCGAATTAGAAAATACAAAAAGTAAAAAAACAGTGTAATGAAGGTAAAGTTTTGCTTTTGGTTTGAAACAAAAAGAAAGAAAGAAACCATCCTACACAGGCTTGACATGTATGGTTGCTAAGCGACTGGACAGTCGCTTTCCTAAAGTGGCAGCCCACAGGTGTAAAAGAAAAGGAAAATAAATGGAGAAATTTTGTAAATACAACCGTAAAGAATAAATATAAAGTACTGTATGTGTTTTAGGAGTTTTAAGGAAGACCATAAAGAAGGGAAGTTTGAATAATGAAGTGCAGTGGAAGCACAAGGACAGATAGTGTGGGCGAGGAGCCGACCGAAGGGTGTGTGGGTTGTACAAAGGTTTGATTGGGCTCCTCGGGCTGGAACATCTCTCTGACCTCAGACACTGTACACACACACACACACACACACACGCTCATTGTCATGTAGTTGTGAATCGACAAGCTTTTAGACACACATAGACTCACTTATCCACTTATGAATCCATGGTATAATTACATAATGGCGTGTATTATAGGAATTCCCTTGCACTCTCTCCAGTTGTAAAGAGCAGATAATTCAGATGTTTTTAAGACTCAATATGTTTCTGAAGCATCTCATTCGCACTCTCTTTCTCGTGTAGATCCGATGGGAGAAGAACATCACATTAGGAGAACCTCCGGGGTTCCTCCACTCGTGGTGGTGGTGAGTGTTTCTGTGTTGTCTCATGATTCGACTTACATTCCTCCACTTGCTGTTCTTCATCACTGACACCATTGAATGAATCTTTCTCCCTCCTCCTGCTCTGTTCCCAAATCTTAACACACAAAACACCTTCAGTCATCTATTGCAATATTGATAATAGAATCATACTCGTGCCCTTGATGCTGGATTATCCTGCCTCTAAAATGAACATTTATTTTTATCTGTCGTGTTCTTCAGTGTTTCTCGTTTGTCATAGTTCTGCTAATTGTGCGAATGCCTCTGTGTTTGTCATAGTGTTTTCTGGGACCTGTACTGTGCAGCTCCGGAGAGAAGAGACACGTGTGAACACTCCAGTGAGGCCAAGGCCTTTCATGACTATGTGAGTTTACAATGAAATAGCTGTCGTCACTTATTGTGGAAATATGGAACCTCTTCGATTAACACACATGAAATTGTTGAATATCAAATGAATGGATATAAAACAGTATTAGATATGATAATATGAAATAAGTCAGTGTATCATTATGATTAAATCATTTTAAATATATAGATTCCAAATAAGATCTGCATCTAGTGAGTTTGAATGAAGAATCATTGTAGCTTATCGTTTTGCTGTTTCTCCTCTTGTGATTACAGTGTTAACCACCAGTCACAATGACAAGGGTTTAGGTGCAGATAGACCATAAGGATGAGACTTTTTGATACCCCAACATTTAGCAGTGTCTAAACCCAGATCAATAAACTGAACTCTGTGGTTATGATATGACCACAACTTACAAACTGGTTTAATCTCGGAAGGGTTTCTGAAATGAGCGCTTGTTGTGTCATTCAGATAAAGAAGAGGAGAGAACGTACTGTTTAAGTATTTACCTGCTGGTTATATTCTACCAGAGCACTGCAGCACACACACACACACACACATATATATATAAAGTATTGTGAGCATCAGGCTGGAGAGCGAGCAGGCGAGCACAGTGGCCCGTGTGGTGGAAACATTGTTTATTGCTCAGTGTGGCTCCACTTTCCTGTTGTAATTCCCACACATCGGACATTGATTCAGTCATGCACCATCCCTGTAACCGGAATACAGCGAGCAGTGCCAGAGCGCATGAAGTTTCAGATTAACCGTTGACTAAAAGAGAGGAAGTGTGGCGCTTATGGGAAGTTGTGAAGCGGCGTGAGCTGGAGTTGGGGGGAGACTGGGAAGTTTTTTTTCTCTCTCTGTCTCTCCTGCTCGTTATATTGTTGTTTTCCCACTGTAGCCTGAAGTCTGACTCATCAGTTTCGCCTGTTCTGTGGTTTATTGAGATGTATTGTTGGAAGTGCACAGGTCAGGGGTTTCTGCCTACACCAGCAGGATCGTCCCTCCTCCGGTCTCTCTCCCTCTCTGCGGTTCTCCAGCTCTTTCCTTTAGGCTTGCAATACTGCAGAACCAGTGTTTTCTCTCCTCTCTTCTTGCAGTAGAAGTGTGTGTGCTTGTGTACGTGTGTGTGTCTGTATGCGTGTGCATACGCAGGTGATGCTGCTGATGCGGGCGATGATGATCAGGGTGATGAATAGGCACTCCGAGGACGAGGCAGTTATGGGATGATGTCATCCTAGCTCCGACGAAAAGGGAGCTGGAGGGCAGCTCGACCTCAGACCTGAGAGACAGACAAAGAGAGGAAAAAACATGGAGAACTTGGAGATGGAGAGAAGGAGGGAAAGAGTCAAAAAGAGGGACAGACAGTTGTACATTTCTGTCTGATTTATTAGATCGAAACACGTCTCGACACCAAAAAGAACGAATGGAACACATCTGCATCCATCATTTTCAATTGTTCCCAAAATGACAACATAGTTATCTTGTTCCTTCTTATCTGATCAGAATCAATTCAATTCAGAAATCATCCGGAATATATCTTAACGCCACGAGAAATGTTTTATTCCTCCTTTTCCTGCTGGGATGTAATCAGAGAATTCTAATTAGACCAATTGTAATTAGACCAAGGTCACTTTCAATCAACTGTTGCAACGCCGCGCTGCTTCTCAGATCCAATCAGAGGTATACTACCCACATTTCTGCCACTCAATTAAACCAAAATGAAGGGACAACTGCGGTGGACTTGGTTGGAAAAAAGGCGCGCCGTAAGTCATTGCCCGCGTCGCTCTCTTCAAGTCTCCTGACTTTGAGACTGATGGAGATTTTAATCAGACATTTTGATGGTAATTATTTTCAGATAGCTAATTACTGAGTAAAGTCCTAATTAATGCCGGGGACACGCAGGAGCTCGTTGGTGTCATCTTTGTGTTTCCTCTTTCCTGGGATAATTGATGGGATTGTGACAAGGCGTTGGACTGGATGTGTTCGCCTCTCCCAGGTTGAACTGTAGATACAGTTTGCTTTCTGATTTAAAATAGTCTCTCCATTAAGTCTCTTTACGATGTTTTGCATGTGGTTGTGTTCTTTATGTGTCTCTATCATATCACTACATTCTACTGTCTGTGGATAGTCTTCAAGGACATTAATACAGCCATCTAATGTTAAAAGGGAAAGAAAGAAAAGGCTGATGAACAAAGTGGGATGCCGAGTTATTGATTTTCATCCTCAGACGAGGCTTTTCAGGCATCAGAAAGACCGTTTACAGATCTGTTAAGTGCTTTGTAAATTGTGTTCTCGATACTCAATGAGCAGTTTCCATTTGCAAGAGGCCACGCAGTCATAAAATCAAGTTATTTTTAAACTCTTATGCTTGACCCGGAAATGGCCTTATTAGAGACAGAAGTCGGCGGCTCTCACTTTTCAGAATCAACATTGAGTCACTCAGGTCATTTCAGGCTTTTCCTGATCGTGGCGAGGGTGAAAAAGTATAAACACTAACTTGAATGTATTCACATTATTACTAAAATGGAGAGAAATGTGGTTGTAATTATATGTTTTAAACTGATTCTTTTTGGAAAAATGCTGTATTTTCTCTACTGGCAGAATTTTCTTTTTTCCACAAAAATGTTGTGATCTTTAACAACTATGAGCAAATTAAAGCCGAGCAAGAAAGAATCAAACCAGCGTGAAACAGCTTGTACTACTTGTGGAAACAACTCGGCATTAGCAGCATTACCTTGACTACACTGTGACATTTAAGTCTGCCTAAAAAAAGGTCAATTTAATTGAAATGCTAATGTCTCAAAGTTCGACGGTGCATGATTGAGTATTTGTGTGTGACACACTGAGCGGATTAATTACAAGAAATAAACTGTATGTGTTCAAAGTGTGAATTATTCTGGAGGCAGACTGGTGCTATAGAGGGACTGACGAGTTTGCAACCTTTGGGGAGTTTGTGGAGAAGTGATGCAAAAAAAACAAAAAAACAACCCCCAGAGTGAGCGATACCTGAGTCCTGAGATCTGGAGGTCATCAGCGCCAAACAGTCGTACTGGTTGAGCTGTGCAGCCTCCTGATAAGAACGTGCTTGTTAACTGTAAGTAAGATGGTGGTTGAAAAATCACTGTGACAGAAAATATGATGTCAGCTAAAAAGTGGTTGTGAATGTTTGTAAAAGCCTGAAGATGCACAGTAACCCTCATCACATAGACGTTTGTCTCCTCGCTGTGTGTATGGATTCTCAGAGAGGAGAGCGCGACTGTTATTAAGTCATCCAGAAAGCAAGAAGACAAATATTAGGGAAATGGGGACACATGCAGAATCAGTCAAGCATGCAGCCTCACACGCAGAGCAGACACTCTGACAAGCTGGTGGATTTTTTCTACATTGCGTAAAATTCAGAGAACGTATGTGCTGCCAAGTAAAGAAAACAAACTATCCAAAATCATCAAATGGTTTTACTTCATGATCATGATGCAACTAATGATTATCATTTGATATTGAGTAATGGTTTGGTTCATTTAATGTACATTGGCCAAGAAAGCTCACTGCACTGCACCCAAAGAAACGACGTGTACATGTGCGCTGAAATCTCTCAACTTCAGAAGAAAACTCATCAAAAATAATCCAGACCCTATAAAAAAATATATTTACTTTGACGTACAAGAAAGAAAACACCTAATCTTTTTTTTTTAAATCAACTAATGGCCATAATGTAAACTAATCCTATGTTCACCAAACCTGGTGGAAGGATGGAGCCTGAGAACAACCCAGTAAATTTAAGTGTGGATGTAGATTAAGGGATAGATTCAGGATTATGTTGTAATAGCTTTACCCCTGTCTGTTTGTTTGTTTGTTTGTCTGTTTGTCGGCAGCATAACACAACTGCTATTACTACACGTTTGGTTGAAGGATGTGGGATGGGACAGAAAAGAACCCATTGAATTTTGCTGCAGATCGGGATAAGTGGTGGATTTTTTCTTTATCATTGCAAGTTAGTGTGTTTCCACATTTTTGTGAATTCCTCAAAAACGAATGCAGCGATATTGATGAAAAAAAGCGAGAATGCTAATATCAGTGAAGATGGGAGATTTTTTTGCAGATCTGGATAATGATCCAGATTAAGTGAATCAAATTAGGGAGATGATCAGTTACTGTGTGGTAACAATATACCTTTCAACTAAATCAGAGAATGGATATTCTGCCTGTGTTTAATTCCTGTACACATGGTATATATGTGATCTTAATGCATGTATTTACAATAGTGATATAGTGTCCATTCCGCCCTAGCAGAGGTACATGCTCTACTAAGTACACTACAATACTACATCTAGCTTTGATGAAAAAGTTTAAAAACAGAGAAGGATGTGATAGTGTACAGTATTTTTTTCTGTCTTATGGTTTTAATGCTCTCATTAAAGTTGTCAGGTTTATTTATCCTCCACAGATCACAGATTTTATTACTTGGCAAACATTTGTAAAACTGCAAAGAAAAAAAACTATCTGCTGGCTGATTTAGTTAAAAGAAACAAAGGGGTTGACAGATGGATGAACTGGAGGGTGAGCAGCGAACATAAAATGCACCGTGGACAGGCTGCAGTATTACAACGCAGGGAGTCAGGCTGGTATCATCGTGTGGCATCTCTGTGGGAGATAGCAGGCACATGGCAGTTAGAGGGGAAGAAGAGATCAAGAGGCAGTGCTATGAGCAACCCCCTTTGATAAAAAAGCTCTGTCTCACGTGGCCTGATATCACATTCACACTCGCTCGCTCTGCAAACGTATTCACGACGGCCAATTTAACAGCAAAACACACATTCTGTCTTCATTGTGCAGCTAAAAGGATACACCTGTTTATAAATAAGTGATAAAGACACACGGCTGCTTTATTCATTTAGGTCCTGATGCACTGTCAGTGTGTGGAAAGATAATGCACTGTGTTGTGTGTGGGTGTGTGGGGGTGAGGCTGGAGGACATGAAGGTGTGGTGACTCTGGGGTTTAACTGAAAACAGCTCCT